CCAAATCCCTTCTTACCATGCTCATACCTGTGCTTTTCCCCTCCCTCTCCCCTCACAATATATTTAGATCCAGTTTGGTCTGAAGCAAATCCTGTGGCTTCTGTTCTCCAGCTGTTCAGCGTTTTTCACGATACCTCCCTCTAGACTCTGTAAAACACAGGTAAGATACTTTTCTCTTCGGAATTGAGAAAAGGAAAGGCAGTGAACAGGTTGAAACAGTAAACAAGACAGAGTGTTTCAACAGCCAAGAAAGTAAGCTTGCGAGGCAGAGGACAGAATACTTGAAGATGAGGCAGCGTATCTTCAGTCTTCCTCTCCCCAGCAACATTTGCTTCCTGTAGCTGAGTCTGGACCACAGTAACAGAAACATCTCTCCAAACTATTTCATAGTAGCACAAGATCCTATTGGGGAATATTTCCAGTTTCTTATTAGCATTCTCGAGAAACCTAAGGCAGATTCTGCAGCAAAACTTGTCTGTGTAAAAAAACCACAGCAGCAGAGGCTTTTGGCCAGCTTGAGAGAGAGAAGGATTTAAGGGTCCTCCTGCCTGTACCCGGCCACTCCAGCCTCGGAGAGCACAAAACTTGAACTGCAGAGGACAGAGGTAAGGGAAACTGCTGCAAATGCAACACTCTCCAGTTAGAAACACTCCTTCCTTTCATGCTGCTTCAGCTCTTAAATTTTCATCTCTCTGCAGATGCTGAAAAATACCCACAGATTAGAGACTTCCATACTTCAAATGAAACTAACATATAAAGGGGAACATTTTTACAAGTGAAGTGAATAGCTAGTCTGTGCAAACACTGATCTTCAGTGTTAACAGTGTTAACAGTGTTATCTTCAGGATAACATCATAAACACTGGGAAATAAAATTAATGGTTGAATGATAGCAGTACTATGCTCCCAAGAATAATAATCAGATATACATGTTTAACTGCCTGTGACTGAGGACTCCTGTATCTTGTTATAACTCACCACTCTGAAGAGTACACACCTTCTTCAAAATATAAATATTTGAAATTATGATTCACATGTATTTGAGTATGATAAAATGAGCAGGAATTTTAAAGGTTTGATTTTTAAAAAATGGTATGACTGAAAAGGTTAATCTAATCCTAAAAACAAAGAAGCCTCTTTACACCATTATATTTACTGTTTGGGTACTTCTATGTAGTGTTTTCGAAACTGTTTTTGAACAGCAAGAATTAGCTCTGAAAAAATCAGTAATTCCAAAATTTTTTACTTTAGATGAGTTATTTTCTTAACTAGTTTGTGCATTAGCAGTGCTAAGTAAATATAAAAACATATTGGGGAATGGTTTGTCCTGTTTTCTCCTTTTTGACTGAAATCTACTAAATCTGTCACCTCTGTTACAAATAAACAGTTTGCAGTACTTTGAAATAATAACACTTTTTTTTTTTTTTTCAAAGGGAAATTTTTGAAGTTGGGAATAAAGTACCAAACCAGAAAACCTTGTGTTGGTCCATCACTATTCATTTATTTTTTTAGAAATAAAAGACCCTAAAAGTACCAAAAAGAATGTTACAAATTCTTTTTAATAAGTCTCAATCTAAAGAGGAGCACAAGGACAAGGAGCTGACATGACTACTGTACATCCCACTAGATAATGCTGTTTTTTTAACAGACTTATGAAAATTTTATTTTTCCTTCAGGTAATTTTTCTTTTCTTTTTAGAGGCAGCTTGATAAAGTAGCAAATGTCTAAGATTTCTTAGTAGTGTGTACTGCATAACATTCATATTACCTGTGATCCTGAGTGATGTATAAAGGATACTGATTTACTCCTTATTCTTTTTATCAATTTAAACAAAACTAACCTTCATTTGTTATGGAACCAGTCTTGGCTTTGAATATGCTAATTTCTGTACCTGATTATATCAGATTCGTTATCTGTTACACAGGAATAGTAACTGCCATGCCACACTATTGTAAACGTAAATATTATGATCTGATATTCTCACTTACTGTAGCAAAGAAAAATAAGATGGGCAGTGCTTTATAAAGGACAAACAAATAAGTTAATAACATGTTAAAGGACAGTAACCTTAGGGCCTTAATTTCTGAGTGCTTTTTCCAAGATACAGAACAGTATTTACTGTTTTAATTTTTTTTCCTTTAAGGGCATTTAGACTTGTGTCACTTTTTCCTCTTTAGGAAAGCTGTTCTCAATTTAGTAGATTCTACTCCAAAGTTACATTTAAGTGAAGTTATCTGTAGAAGAAACCACTAGAGCCATGAAATATAAAACAAGAAAGAGCGACGTGTGCTCGTGGATGACCAGTGCACACAATGGCTGTATGAAGACCATTCCACTAGTTTCAGTAGCAGACAGATTGGATTCTATGAGCCCAACCATTTGAATCAGTGAAATAATGCATTTTTCTTCATCAGTAGCCTCTTTCTTCTAGATGTGGTGAGAACACAAGACACTTAGGTCCTGAATGCAGTATCCTCCCTGAATATGGACACTGGAAAAAAAAAAAATCAGTCTAGTCTTCTTCCTCACTTATGCTTTTGTTGGCTCTTTGCAGCCAGTGGAAAGTTTGGTATGCTGTGATGTTACTTTCCCTATCACTTCATTTACTCTAGATACTAAAAATGCCTGCCCAGCTTTGCAAAAGCCATTTGGAATCTTTGGATGTAAGGCAAGGGTTGAAACTTTACCTGTTCAATCAGTGGGACTATTGCCACTAACTTTGGCAAGGCATGGAGTTCATCCAAAGCAGCAAGACAAAAATATCTATTTGCATCTTACTATCTTTTGTTGGCTTTTCTGCCAAAACTTAGAGGATTACAGAGGGAAAAAAAAAAAAGAAAAAAGAATTTAAAATTACAGAAATGGTTTTGGGCGTGTGGGGAGGTAAACAGGGCTAAAGGTGCAAAAAAGGAGCCTTGGGTGCAAGGAAGAACAACTTCAGTTTTACTAAAATAAAATGTAAAACCAATTGCATTTTCCATTACTGTGGTTTTAAAAATCAGCTATGGCACTGAAAAGGTCATTTATCAAACACAGAATTCTAAAATATTTTTACGTACATCAGTAAATATGTATTTAAGAGAAACAAAATCAAACCCAAACTACAAGGTGTGGATGAGAAAAAACTTACAATCTACTTCTGTGACATTTGACATCACATATGAATAATAAAACAAAACCCCAAACAAAACTCTAGTTTATTACATTCCTAAGGTTCAAACACAGCAAAGTGGCCTAAAAGATACTGTAGTAGCTTTATTGAAATATATTTACGAGCATAGGAACTACTGGTGTCCTATTCTGAAAACCTACAAAATTAGACAAACTGAGAAGAGGCAAACTTCTTCTGCTATGTGCGGAAGGTTACTAAAATAATTTATAAAAACAAATATGCTACTGTCTGCAGAAATCATTGGACAACAACATAATACGACAGCAAACATACCCTCGAAGTGCGTTAGAAATGACAAATTCAGGCTACAGATTTTCTGGTGTTTTATTCAGAAGGCATAGTGATTTTTCTGTTTATAATGACGTAAAGAACTGTAGATCTGTAAATGCTGATCTATAAAATACCACGGTTGCGCAAAACAATGTAATATAATATCAGCAACTAAAGGCACTTTCACCTTTTAAAATGCAGGATTGATCTACTCTGTAAAATAAGCATCTATGTGATGGCAACGTATGTTGATCTCCAACTATCATTTCCTATCACAGTCCAGAAAACTGAGGCAGACTCAAAAAAAAAAAAAAAAAAATCCACGAGGGCCATAGGAAAACCTAGCGACACACTTCACTTAAGCACTTTACCACCTCATCTACGCAGCTTTGTGACAATGAACACCCGTCCGTCCCCACAGGTCCTGGCACCTTTGCCGGCCCCGGGTCACCGCGGGCCCTCGGGGCAGCCGCAGCCGATGGCGCTCCGAGCGGGACTCAGCTCCCGGGGCTCGCCCGCACAGCCCGCCCAAGACGGCGGGGGACACCGGCCAGAGCCCAGCGCAGCCTCCGGGATTCGCACCTGGGTCCGTCTGTCGCGGGTAGGACCCCCATCCGAGACCGCCGCCCGGGCATGCTGCTGATGCTGCTCGCCTTCCCACACTTCTCCCACTCGCACCCTCACGACTCAGGTTTCCTATCCTGCCTTTCCGCCAGATCCAAGGGCAGGAGTTTCCTCCGGACAAGTGCAGCCACATACGCACCACCCCCTTCATCCCGAAGCTCCGCGTGGGGCCGGGGACACGGCCGGGGCGGGACGGGCGCGGCGCTCCCAACCGCGCGCAACTTCGCGGGGCGGCGGCGGGCGGGCCCAGCCCTGCCCTGCCCGCCCCCCACGGCCGGGCCTCCCCCGGCCCTCCCGTGACCGCGGGGCCACCATGTGCATCTCCCACCCCGTGCCTTCCTCCCTCCCTCCTTCCCTCCCCTTCCCCACCGCCTGCGCAGGCAGGATGCGCGCGGCACCGCCATCCCCCGGCGGGAGCTCTGCGCGGTGCGGTGCGGTGGGGCGGGCACCTCGCTCCCCCGCCGCGGCCCGGCCCCAGCGGAACCGCGGAGACAAAGTTTGCGGCGGCAGCGGCGGTGCCCGTGCAGCGCGGGGCAGGCCGGGCGGGCGGCGGGCTCGGTGCATGCCTACTGCGTGGATGAATCGCAGCAGGCGGCGGCGGGCGGGGGCGGGGGCCGCGGCCGGCGATTGGGCGGCGCGGCGCTCGGAAGCACTTTGTTTTCTATTCTAATGAGGGCGGAGCGGGGCTTGTGGATATTTACGTTGAGGCGGGAGCCGCCGCCCTTCATTCACCCACATGGTCCCCGAGCCCGGCCGCTGCTGCCGCCGGGACCTGCCTTCGCGCCACTTCCCTCCCCACCCCCCCTC